ACTTTTCCAAGTACCTTGTATTGTATGGGCTACTTTCCATACAATATAACCGATGCAAATCTATGGATGCATATATTGTGAAGTCTTCTGAAGAGTTGTTCTTTCTTTCCTGAACAGAAGCACATATTTTTAAGGTACAAGATAGTGAATACAGTGAAAAACTTCCTCTATCACTCTTCCCCCAGCAGCCACTTCTCCTCCTGGATTATTCGTGTATTCAAATCCTTAAAGTATCTATCTAGCCAGGAATATATTCTTTTGAAATATGCTAGTATGCTATGTATAAAATGCTACTGTTCTATATCCACTTGAGTATTTTGTTTTCGACATGCCTATATCTGAGATATTTCTTTATTAGTACATATAGCTGATTTCATTAAAACAGCTGCAAATGGTAATATAAATGCATCAGAAATGATTGAATTAGAGTCTCCTGGCTAGAGCCTTGATAACAGTTTGCTATTAGGATCCATGCTGCCCTCACAGATATGCCTTTTTGTACACACCTTTGTATATGTAGCATTCATTTCTGGAGACAGAACTGCCAAGTTAAAGGGCTTGATACACCTTAAGTTCTAACAGCCACTCCAAATTGTTGTTTGCGATCTCTGTGATGCTTTGTACTCCTGTGCCTGATATATGAGACCATCTGATGTTGCACACCTTTGCTAAGACAGCGTGTTCCTTACACTTTTTATCCACGCCCAAGCTTTAGGTCACAATGGGATTTCAATGTGATCTTAATGTGCATTTATCTTCTTATGAGGCAGATGGAAGATTTTGCCACATTTTAAAATCTATTCAATTTCCTTTTCTCAGAACTTGCTGCTCATAACCTTGGCCTCTGTTTTCCATTGGGTTTATTATTCTTTTTTCTTCTTGATAAATAGCTGGTAGGATATTTCTTTCTGCTTCTTAGGAAGTTATATTCATTTTTGGTTCAAATTTGAAAACAGAATCACAGAGAGGGAGAGTCAGAGATGTTTCATTCTTTGTTTCCCTTATTACATGGCCACAATGGCTAGGGTTGGAGCAGGCCTAAACCAGCAGCCTAGAACCCCATTTGTGTCTCCTACATGGTTTGGAGGAGCCCAGAGATTTGGGCCATTTTTCTACTGCCGTCCCAGCCACATTAGCAGGGAGCTGGACCAGAAGTGGAGCAGCTGGGACTGGAACTGGCGCTCTGATATGAAATTCATGTCACCCAAGCAGTAGTTTAACCTCTTGTACCACAGTTGTATTCCCTATGAGCCTTTATGCCTGCATCCTAATCCATTTCTTATGTTGCTATATCTAAATACTTGTATCTGAACATTAGATAAAGAAAACAGATGTCTGGCTCACAGTTTTGGAGTCTGAATGTCCCAGAGCAGGTTGCTTCATCGCTGTGGGCTCTGCTGAGGATGAGCACCTGGTGCAGAACTGGTACAGAAGTCAACAGGCTTACACAGGAGGGGCTGAACATGTGGGTAAGCCTTCCTCATGACCAACCTGGTCGTCTGATATTACGCTGATCCCTTCTGCAGGTAGCACCCTCATGACCGGGTCATCCACTGGGACCCACCTTTTCAAGGTTCTACCACCTCCCAATAGGGCCATGATGCAGATCCAGCTTCCATCACATGAACCTAAGGGGAGTAAAAGACACCCAAACCACAGCTTCTAAAATATGCCTCCTTTTATTTCTTCAGGCTGTTATACTTATGGTTAACTTGAGGAAAATTGCACTTGTGCAATGTCTTTGCATCTACTTAAGATTATAAACTGGGTTTAAATAAGCACATTTTTACAAGATGCCTACCTGTTGAGTACAAACAGAGAAGAAACAAAAACAGAAGCAGACGAGGGTCGATGGATCTTAGACTAGCATGGGAACCAATGGACAGGTTTGAAACCAGTCCTAAAGCTAGAGATTGCATGATATGCTCTAGCATTGGGTGTAAGAGTAAGATGAAGGGAAAACCAGGAATCATGGTAATCGTTGAATCGTCTCAGTTTCAGCCACAAGGTGGTTAGTGATACTGTAGACAGGAAGAGGCAGAGAGGTCAGAGAAAGACTTGTTTAGAAGGCAAGTCCCCAAACCTCAAGTCCAAGAGCACTGCCCACAGAAGTTCTTTCACTAGAACCACAGCCCACTGGATCCATTGTGAGGCTCCTCAGGGCCTCCACCCACCCAGTACGTTTGTGGAAATTAGACATGGTGCTACCCATCTGGGAAAACAAAGACTCACGGCTTGGTTGGTGAAGAATTTGTGATTTGGACTTCATCTTGTACCTGTCTTCATGCCATGAGTAGCCTGGGAACCTTGGAGCTCACCTGTGCCTGGCCAGCTCACCTGACCACACCTTGTACCTAAAGCCCTAGTCGTGCCTCTCCTGACTCCCACAGTCGCTTTTTCAACTAGACCCCATCTCTCTTTTGAGACCTACCGGTCACTGTGAATTAGTTAGCTGTTGCACAGTCAACTATGTAGCCTATCAGTTGTTGTAACCACCTCTAAACCTTGGATTACAGTATGTGAAGAAATCATGAGGCTTTAACTCATTTAGCTAGCTAAAGATACCACAATCAGTCATTCTTTCTACTTGAAGTAGCTCCAATTGGCCAGGTTGAAAACAGCCTGGTCTTTTAGGAAAGAGCCCATTTAGCTACAGAGAACAGCAGCACGTTTTAAGTTGCTTCTCAAAGATACTAGTTTGAAGTAAACCATTCTGGTACTCAGTAGCTAGTTGAGTGGCTTGACTTTGAACCTGGCCAGCCTCCAGCCTTAGGATTCCCCTGGTCAGGGGAGAGGGGTGGACAAAGCAGGATTCTGACAGTATCTGTAGTTCTGTTTGTTACACCATCTCTTCACAGCAGACTTGAGAACCACTGCTGATGCCCATGGCCAAGGATCACAAACACCCCAGAGAGCCCTTCCGCAGCCCCTCCCATTTCAGTTGTACTATGTGGAAGTTTCAGGCGGGCTGTGTAAGGGCATGGCGGCCCCAACACTGCCACCGGGTTTGGCCAGAGGTAGTGCTACACTGCTTGGTAACTGGTAATTCCCCACTCCATGTACGCCATTCTTCCCCAATATGAAGCTAAGATTTGGGCAGTGGAAGTACTTTTGCCACCCTTCCCCCCATCAATCAATTGACTGGTTTTCAGTTATAACCACAAGGAATAGTAACTGAGGCAAGACAGCTGAGCCATAACCTGAGCGGAGACATGGTCTCCTGCTGCGCTCACAGGTGGAAGCAGGTGCTTTGCTCCATCCGTAGGAGCCGTCAAGGTTGCTGCCCGTATCTACTTGACTCTCAGCTTCCCCTTTGCTGGGCTCAGGGGTCTGACATCAGCCTCATCCTCCAAACATCAAAGCCTTGGGAGAAACAAACTTCTCTTCCTCAAGTGCTAGATAAAGATGGGAGGAAATGGCAGTTCCTTCTGTGCTCTGCCTGATTCATGATTATTAAGCCATAAACAACCATGGCTTGAGACACTTACAGTGTTTTGTGATGAACCTGATCGATTTCCTGACATGCCCTGCTCTACATTTCCTGCCCTGTCGCGAAATGGAAGGCCTCCCATGAGTGGTGAAATTTTGGATCAGCGAGGATATCAACCAGGTGCAGCCTCTTGACGCATCAATAACATTGGCACAGCAGACTGTAAGTGGGTCAGCTAAGTGTACGGCCCACAGCTTACACTCGTTAGAATCTGAGCACAAGCCCCATCATCAAGAGTCCCAATTAAGTAATAACCAAAACACAGCGGCCCTGCTTGGTTTTTCCCTCTATACTCTCTCCAAGACAGCTTCTGTGTTTGTAAAAAAAAGTGTCTTTTAAAAACTAGACAATGTGTTCTCTTTGCCTTATAACGTTGTCTTGTGAACCTCGTGCATCTGGTGCAATCAAATAAAAGCAGCAATGAAATGGTGGGCGATGGCTGTTTCCTCTCTGAATTTTTGTATCCTCCAGGCAGACCTAATAAATATTCAGGAAATGATTAGTAGGGACATTGCCACTTGTGTCCTTTGCATATCCATGCCAGGCACTCTTGCACAAGCAGCTTTACTTGGTAATCTACAAATGTTCTGGGCTGCACTCTGCACCTGCCACTTTTGCCGTAATTAGCTTAGGATGCAAAATGATTTCTAAATTAGGGCTGTGGACTTGTAAAATTAAGAAGGCCTGATCCTCAACATGGTAGCTGTGGGAAACCAGTGAACACACCGGGAGAAGCCACCAGGACAAGACCTTCAGCGATGCTCAGTGGTGTCAAAACCTCAACGTCCACACTGGACACGCTTACAAACTCATGGGTACAGATAGGTTATCGGTTGGAGGTGGGTAATGACGTCAGGGCCCAGTTACTAAAAGCTGTTGCCTCTCTCTTGCCATCTATGCACAGCGTGCAGGTTTGAGGAACACACATCTGACTTGTCAGCCAGGAAAAACTTCAGCACGAGCTGACTGAGCACAGGCATGGCACCTTAGGGGGGCGCGAAGTAAGCCATCCACCTGCTGAGTGTGCAGGGAGAGGCACCGGGCAGACAGGTGGGAGCCCCACTTCGGAACTCTGGGCTTCGCGGAGCCCGGAATCCTGCTAGGAGCAGGCCGAGCAAGCAGAGCAGAAGAGGATTAGAGTACAGCGGCAGGAGCTCCGGGAGAAGGGCGAGGAGGAAGCCGGACGCAAAGAGAAAGGCAAAGAACAGTAGGTCCGCCCCTCCCGGCTTCCTCCTCAGCTCCCAGACTCGGGAGTCCTCGGCGGGCCGCGGCAGCCTTCCCTCTCCAGGCTGCTTCCCAGCTCCAGCGTTGCTGTCCCGCCCGTTCGCGCAGCGCTGGGCAGGGCAGGGCAGCGGCGGGCAGGGCAGCGGCGGGCAGGGCAGGGCAGCGCCTCCCTGCGCGCGCTCCCTCTCCCCGGCCCGCGCGCACCCGCGCCGCGTCTCCGGCCCGCGCGGCCCTGCCACTCGGGGCATGCGCAGTGGGCGGCGCCGCTCCGGGCCACCTCGCCACGGCGAGTAGGAAGCGCGAGCGCCGGGCGCCGGGGCTGTCAGTGAGCTTGGGGCCAGCGAGTGTGCGAGCGAGAGAGCGAGAGAGCGAGCGAGAGAGCGGCTCCGGTTCCGCTCAGCGCAGCGCAGCGCCGCGCCGGCTCCACTCTCCGCGCAGCCGCCTCAGCCCCTTGCCCGGGGTCGCCCGGCGCCTCTCCTCCGCCGGCCGGCTCGCCCGCCCACCCCGGCCCTCGCCGGCTGCTGCTCCCCGGCGGAGGCAAGAGGTGGTTGGGGGGGACCATGGCTGACGTTTTCCCGGCCAACGACTCCACGGCGTCTCAGGACGTGGCCAACCGCTTCGCCCGCAAAGGGGCGCTGAGGCAGAAGAACGTGCACGAGGTGAAGGACCACAAATTCATCGCCCGCTTCTTCAAGCAGCCCACCTTCTGCAGCCACTGCACCGACTTCATCTGGTAGGTGCGCGCGAGGGCGCACGGAACGCCGCCGCCCTCGGAGAACTTGGGAGAGCCGGAGGGGAGAGTCCCAAGTCTCGCCTCGGCCGGCACACCCGCTTGCCGCTGGAGAGGGAGCCCGGCCGGGCCAGGCAGCCCGCCCTTGGCCGAGCCCGCCGAGCGGCCGCGGGCCCGGGGGCTTGGCGCAGGGCAGGGCGCCGCGGCGCAGAGTTCCCTCCGGGGGACGGCGCTGCCGGGGTGGCGAAGCAGGCAGTCCGGCCCGGCTGGCCGGGTAGGCAAGGGCGCATTCGGGGGGCGTGTGTTTGTGCCTCCTTCGGGCTCGCCCTCGGCTGCAGCCTCGGGTCCCCTGCCTCCTGGAGTCAGGATCTGCTGGGCGCGCGGAGACTGGAAGCCCGGGAGAGAGCGAGCGAGGCAGCGAGCGAGCAAACTGTTGGAAGCTTGTGGCGGCGTGGGGTGGGGGGGAGGGCCGAGCGAGCCGAGCAGGCGAATGGCAGAAGGGCAGAGGGAGCCTTTTAAAATAGACCCTGTCAACACACCAGATTAGACCTGTAACCCCGCTGATGAGGACAGAGGCCTCATTTAAGAAAAACAAAACAAAACACAAACTGCCGTGGCTGAACGTGTCGGAGTTAACGCAATTTGCAGTGATCACAGCTACTCTTCATTTGGAGGGCTCTGTGGGGGAAAATTGATGGGCTGGAGGGGTCCCCTAGGTCAGGGGGTCTGTGATTCTCAACTGTCGGTGACCTACTTACCTCTCGCCCCCAAAACGCTAGGGTGGGATGCGGAAGAGCAGGACCCCGCGACTCCTTCACCTTTTGTTTGTGGGTGTGCCCCGGCATCTGCGGGGCGCCCCAGGGGTGCACCGTAGCTGGAGGGCTCAGTCTTAGTTCCGTCACACCTGGATGGGGGCATGACAGGGGATCCGAGTCATTGCACGTGGTGGCCCTGAGTAGAAAGCCGCGGAGAGGAGCGGGCTGTTCGGTTGTAAAGTACCTCCACCTCTCAAGGGTTTCCCCGGTCCGCCTGCCAGCGTCCTCAGCCTGAGGAGCGGTGGAGCTCACAGTTGCAGGGAATTCTAGATAAGGCTGCTGAAGCGAAGTTTCTGAAGCGTCCGGGCCCAGAAGAGATAGTGCGGGGTGTTTGTGTGTATGTATGTGTGTGATGGGGGCGTGTGTGAAGGTGGTGGTGGTGGTGGTGATGGTCTTCAGCTTAGAGTCAGCTGGGAGATTGCACTGAGGGGAAGGGGCTGCAGGCGATGACTTTGCGGGAAGTAGGTAAGTTAGAGACCTGCTTGCAACGCCTTCAGGCTAGGTCTGGTTTCTCCCCTGTCACCGCCCGGAAGGCTGGAACCCACGAGGCACTGAAGTTCCCAGGTGTTCCGTGAAGTGGGCAATAAAGTCCCCCTCCCCCCACCAGCCCCGCACCTTGCAACTTGTCCCCTTAATTGTGGAGCAGCCAAGTGAAGCTCATCAGGGAAAGGTCTTGCGCGTGCTTTTGATTTCTTGCACTTTCTGCATCATTGCCTCTGTGGGTCTTTTCTTTACTCGTTGTACCTCAGTCTGAAAGTGCTGCTATTTTAAGACTATTTGGATTTGGGCATTTTTTTTTTTTTTTTGGTGGGGAGAGAGACCCCTCAGTTAAGCCAGCATGTGTGTGAAGCACTTTATGTGTTTCAAGTGTTATGTAAAGGAAGCGCTTACAGCTCTGGAGGATGTCTGTATTGTAGTTCATCCCTAGCAGAGAGATGTAGTTGAATGTCCAAGTCAGGCGTTGATCCCTCTGCACCTGCTTCGGATGTTGCCGTTTCTCGTGAATAATTAGATCGTGATAGTCTCAGGGGCAAAGAGCAGGGATACTGTTTCATAAAGGCTGGTCCCTTAAGCCAACATTAAATGTGAGAAGTGGCTGTGGGGCTACTGGACCAATTTTAACACAATTCACCTCAACCACATAAGTCCTATGAGAAGAAACATTTTCAGTAAATCTGTAGGAACAGGGTTAAGGCACTTTCTGCTCTCCGCCCCCCACCCCAGGGCATCCTTTTTGGTTACTTGAAATTTCAGTAACAGAGTGTAAAGAATTGACAAGTAACTTGCATCCTTTGTAAGTGGGGCAGACTTTTTTTTTTTTTCCAAGTTGAATTTGTACAGTAATCTTGTTAGAAACAAAGGCATACCATTCCTATCAACTTCTTGGATGTGAAATCTGTAGAATGTTTTGTCGCATAGCTTGTTAAACACGTGCTGTCCGTCACAGATTGTTAAGCTGTGTTATTCTCATTTCTGTTTTTCAGGGGGTTTGGAAAGCAAGGCTTTCAGTGCCAAGGTAAGCTGCCCTGTTGGGTTTTATTTTCAAGTACGTCATGAAGTAAGCCCTCCAGACAGGAAATGTGTTCCTGGTCATCTCCCCCCCCCCCTTGGTGATCCAAAAAAATACTGTTATCTAGAGAATATTTTGAAATATGAGGGCCATACCTTTGGGCCTTTTAAAACATGGAACAGTGTTGTCTATTAATTGACGTAGAGAACTGCCTTTTTCTCATTTAAAAAAATCCTGTAATTTTATTTTTTGCTGAGAACATTCTTGTCAGAAACTGCTGGCTTTGTGTGGGTGTTGAGGAAAAAAAAAAGGAGTCACTTTGTATCATGTGACTTTTTTTTTCTTGTTCTTCCTCTTTGTTTTTTGTACTTTATCTCTATGGCTTCTGTGTTGGGTTGGGCTTACTGCGTACCTCCTTTGAGGCCCTACGTTGCTCCAGTAAGGGTTTTTGTGTTTTGTTTGCATTGCCAGTTGTCATCCAGAGCACAGATTGCAAGTTAGGGATTTATGTCAGTGATTCAGTAATGACTGATTGCTGCAGTATGACAGGCAGGCACACTTTTCTTTCTTCTTAACTATCTGACAATGGATACAACACTGTGTCGCATCCAGAAAGTAACCCCTTGGTTTTGTCCTCTGATCTATACTTGTGTTTCACACACATCTTTTCAAACTCTCCATCCTTTTAAAACAATTTTCTGGATTGTGAAGTTGTGACTGGTTCACTAGCTCATTTTTGGTTCTGCCACTAATTGTCTTTATTGTATTTATTTAGTTTTTGTTACATGTCTCATCTGGGGACAGGTTTATTATTAGGGCAAGTGAAAAGTACATTGTAGCCTGGAAAGTATTATCCAAACACTGTCTAATAAGTAAATTAGAGAGACAGAGGCACTGTGCACTGAATTTTACAACTTTGAAATTGTGCTCGGAGGTGACCTTCTAAAAAGTTTGAATCTGTGAACAGTTCAAGAAGAGTTGGTCTCTGTGCATCATTTCAGATGGGGCTTTCTCTGATGTGATTCGTTCATGTTCTGTTTTCAGTTGAGATGTACTAATACAACCTTTATTGAGTAAATCATTTTGAGAATCACCTTTGGGAATCAAGGCCTATTTCTTCCAAAATAGGATGAAGAAAGGAGGTATGCAACTGTTTCTTTAAGGCGCCAAAGGGAATGTTTGCTCTTTTCGCTTCCTAGAGTCGTGCACCTGACTCTAATTGGTGAGAATTGGATCCAGACTTGGATGTGATGTTAGACAGTTAAAAGGTGCGAAATGTTCAATACAGACGATTTTTCGCTAATATGATTCACATCCATTGTTATCTTTCTTGATTTCTTTTTCCATTTGGCTGAGGACCTAGGGGAACTGACTGAAAAAAAAAATTGCCAATTTTCCAAAATGATAGTACATCTCCAGGAGAAATTGAGCATATTGTCTTAAGAACATTTCCCTTTCTGCATAAAAAGAATCCAGAATGTGACTGGTCTCTCTCAGAGCTGCTTCTTCAAACAGGATATGTGTGTGAATTGCAGAGCAGCTGAGTTACACGAGGGTTCTGTGAGTCCCAGAGAGCAGCACTCACAGTGGCTTTGCAGACTAGCAGTCTCATGTCAGCGTAGCTCCTCTACCTAAATGATCAAAGTGATGCTCATGGACATTTAAAAATGTGTGGTATAAAAAGTGAAATGGTATACCCTTGTCTCTTCCCATATCCACGGATAGCTGCTGTGTAAGACATCCATTCAGTCACTGACTCATTCACACACCTGGTACCTGGTTTGTCAGAAGGATTCATGACTTTGCATCATTTTTCAACTTGCACACTTTTTTTTTCTCAATATACGAGGGGAACTTCCAAAACCTCATTAACAGGCTGGTATGTGGCCTAGCAGTAAGACCCCAGTTGGCGTATGTAAAATGTATAGTTTTTGCCAATCAGGAAGCTAAAAAAAGGACTTCTCTTTTCAATTTCCATCTGCTAGATTGAGTGAGGTTGAACATTTTTTTTTCGAATGTGTTTTAGCTGTTTGTGTTTGTTCTGGGACTGACTTTATTTTACCTGATATTTGAAATTCAGTGTTTATATATCAGAGAAATGACTATGTACTTTGTTTCTAATTCTTTGGTGAGAGATTAAACTTTGTATCTAATGAATTTCACTAATGTATTTATAGATTTTAATTCACAGAAGTATTTTCAAGTACAGGTTTATTTGCAACATGCTGTCTGTTGCATTTTGTTCGTTAAGTATCATTTCTATTTGAGTAGACAAAGGTTAATCCATTGTATCGTGGTTTGTTGTAACTTAATTAGAAGACTTTGTTAGCTCAGGACAATGCTTTTAATCCTGCAAGTACAAGTGTAGTTATCCTGGGAGCAGGAAGATGGAGAAACTTTTAATCCCGCAAATACAAGTATAGTTTCCGTGGGAACAGGGAGATGGAAATAGAGTGGTTAGTGGGTGTAGTTGGATGTCAGGAATGGCTTTGATGCCCTAGAGCACAATGGGATGAGTGTGGTGGACAGCTGCTGACTGTATGTTTCAAAGTAGCTAGTGGATTTTGAAAGTTTCTAGCACAGTGCATATTCCAGGTTACCCTGATCGGGATACATTGTATACATATGTTGAAAAGCCCCACTGTCCTTCAGCAATATGGACACTTATTGTGTCAAATAAAAGTTTTAAAAATGTATTTTAAGATATGTAGTTTCCTGTTGTTTCCCTATTTTGGTTTTCCTCTCTAAGTTTATCTTTGTCTTAACAGCTGACCACTTAGATTATTTGGATTTTTCTCTTAATATTCTCTAAATTTGTTCATTTGGTTCTGTTTAGTAGAGTATCTTTCTGGAAAACAATTCGTTGTCTTCCATGGCTTTGAATGTAACCCTCGTGTTCCCCTCTGTGTGGCTCCACCACAGACACGGCAGCTGGAGTTTTGGATTGCTTTTTGCCTTTTTTGTATGCTGGGGATTTCTCTCCTGATGAGGAGGTGGTTTCTGACTGCCATTATGTAGGATGTTTCCTTGGTCAATAGGTAAAACTATCTATAGCAGGTATTCTTTTTCTGTTTTTAACTTGAGAGGAACTCAAAGTGTGTGATATACCCTGTAGTAAACATATAGCTGAAGATCCAAAAATATTTGTCCTAATTTTATCTGATGAATGAGAATAGGAGGACTGAAGTTGTCAGTGAGGTTTAGTCCTTAAAACTAAGGATGTGTCTGAGTAGGGTGATGCCATCTAGAAAGCGTTGTAATGTGCAGGTGTGTGAAGCATGAAGCTCATTCCACACTCTCTCCCTTCCCCAAAAGGCAGCATAAATGGAAGAAGAAAGTCTTTCTGGAGAATGGCTTCTTGGTTTTTCCCACTTTGCCTTAATGGACTCTGTGTAATTCTAATTTATGTTGCAGTGTAGGTGTTCAACCCCGAAAACTGATCTGACCACAGGGTGAGTAATACAGGATCCTGTTGTGAGGGTTTGCAGCCTGAAATAATGAAAGCCAGGGCCTGTGAGGCTGGGGGAAGACAGAAGAGTGTGAAGCACATCCGGAGGCCATGGAATCCTTCTCTGGGGGTCCTCAAGAACAAAGGTGGGCCTGTCCGTTTGTCGCCCTGCTCAATGCCCATGGGACAAGATGTGAATTTGCCTGTTGATGTTTGGCCTAAAGGGTTTTCCTGGATGTAATCAGTGCCCAGTTTCATCCCGGAGACGAGCAGTAAGCCGGTCCTGGCTTCCTTTTCTGTAAAGAGAGCTTTTTTGGACCAGGGAGAAATTCAGTGTCAGTCTGGAACGTCTGTTGGGTTGGCGGTTTTTGTCCTACACCAGTTGCTTCCAGTAACGGTGATCCTGGAACTTAGCGATCCTCTGTGTGGCTCAAACTGTCTCCTCTGGAGCTGTGGAGCTGAAAAACACTGTTATCTCCTGCTTTCACTGCTGGAAAGGGGAGTGAGCCAACTCGATTTTTTTTTTTCCTTCCTCAGTTAGCAACACCCCTGCACTTCTCTAGTTACAGTAGTGGAAGCAACCTTTCCAAATGTGACCTGCTTATTCTAAGTGCCAAGCAGTTATTTGTGTATTGCAGTAGGCTAACCTGGTGTGTTTTCCTGATGTTTTTTTGCTCCCTTTCTATGCTATTGCCTTTGTATAATACCATAGATTAAAGCAAACTCCTAACCAGGCTTTTTAAGACACCTTAAATGGAGACATTTTCAGAAGTAACCCCTCCTAGTAGCTGTGATCTCCTGGTGACTGTGGCTCTGAGCAGTCAGTGCCAGGTTGTGAGGGGCCTGCAGGGAATGGACGCCTACGCCTGGCCTCACAGTAATGCCATTGCAAGGCAGTTTAGAATCTTGAGTCATTTTCCTGTTGGGAACACTCTGTGTCTTGTACTCAACCTGTGACTCCAACTGACGCTCTGTGTTTTTCAGTAGTTGTGTTAAAAAGAAAAATCAGCCTTTCTCGCCCATTTGGATGGCATTTCATGTTGGGTCTCTTTCTCCATTGGCTCACTTGAGCAGGATGGGGGTTCATGCTGTTTCTGGAAGAATGAAAGCTGGTGCTTCAAGGAGGAAGAAGAACGCAGTAAGAAGAGTCTCCTCTTGGCCTTAGGCACTGAGGGATTCCAGCGAACCACAGTGACTTTAAGGGAGGGTGACCTTTCAACAGAAGGCGACCATGGAGATGGCATGGGCAGCCTTCCATCAGGGGATGTCCAGTTGTCCTCATCTGCCATGGGGCCCTAGGGGCCAAGAAGTGCCAGCATGAGGTGCCAAGAGGTGGAAAGGGCCGAGGTCCAAGTTGGGCAGAATCGTGAGGCTGGCCTGATTTCTCCTCCTCCCCCTGCACTGGATTGGCTGCCTTGTCAATTTTGCCTGACCTCTGGCTTTCCAGGTCGATGCCAGGATATTCTGGTCTTATTATGTCTTCCCAACAGGAGTCTGCATCCTGGCATCCCATTTTCTGATTGGTTCTCCCATCCCCCAGTTTAAAGCGATGTGAACT